GAGAGGTCTGCCGCGCCATGTGGGTCAGCTCCCTGGCCGGGGATCAAACTAGTGCTGCAGCAGCTTGGCTCGGAATAGCTTGAGAGCACTGAGAAGTTAACCCTTGTGCCACCAGGGAGGCCCCTCCCCTTATTCTTAAGGAGAAACTGATCCGTTTAAAAGTCAAATAATCAATATGACTCACAGGATTTCTCATTGAAAAGTAAGAATTTTAAAGATCAAATAAAAACACTTTTCAAGAAATAACACACACACAAATTCCCTGTCACCATATTCAGGAGACTGGGCCCTACAATCAGTTTCGTCACCTAAACCCAAAAACAGACCGTCTTGTGTCTAAAGCCGCAATGCAGACACGCAGCAAGTGCACTGCAAAGGCCCCAGGTCCCCGGCACGGGCGTCCAGGCCTGTGCTTGCGTGTGCAATAACAACGCTGATGGAAACAAAGTCTAGGATGGCTGCCCGTGACCTTGCACTGTGGATTCAAGATGGCTTTGACTGCGCCCTTTTTGGGTTTTCTGTGTAGGAAAGCTTAGGTGCAGTCTGAGAAACAGAACGCCTCAGAGAAGCCTGTGAGGAAATGTTTTCTTAAAACTATCAAGTAACATTCTGTGAGATACAAACATGTCTTATTGACTGGGACAAAGATGGTGAAAAGCATTTCTTCTAGAAAATAATGTTCTCGTAGAAATACAGATAGCATTGGAGAAATCTAAAGTGAATGAACGAAATGTGATAACTTGATATCCAGTTATTTCAGTTACAAAAATAACACTTCTGCAAACCTTTACAAAATTCATGATAAAGACATGGGTATACTGTGATGGGGGGTGTATGGCTTTATTTCTTACTTCTAACGTGGGGGTAGTTACCTAGCTTATGGATATTCTGTTACACATAATAAAATGAATTTATGATATTACAGAATAAATTCAATACTTTTCATAATTATTTAGGGAATTAGCCAGGTTGTTCAGACTTGAACAACGAACTGCCGGAAATTATCTGGAGATCAGTTTCCAGGGTCCATATGCTGATAAAGACAGACCAAGTCGAGCCGTGTTTTCCCCTTCTCTTTAATGAAGGTAGACAGATTCTATTACTAAACTCCTGGTTTCCAATATCTAAACCATCTGCTCCTTCATTTACTAGGTGTTGGCCTGAGATTAAACATACTCAAGACAAGAAATAAGAGGTCCCCCTTCAAGAAAAAGGCAAAATGCAGAAATTGTCGTTTGTGACCAACAATAGCTAACTCACAGTTACATAAGCAGCAAGGGTGGCTCATGCATATCTCGCACACACATTTACGCACCCAGACGTACACAGCCTCACAGAAGCTGCTCACAATCACACCCCAGCACGCACACTCACTCACTGGTCCTGACCACGCCCTCACCATAAACATGCAGACCTGTTACTTGGCAACTCAAATACCCAACCCCCCCCATGGGGATGCCAATTCACTTCTAATATTTGCTTTGAAAAACCATTATCTCTTTGGAAAAAAGAGTGATAACTATGTCATTAAACTAAAGCTGAAATATAAATTTGAATCATTTATTCATTCAACAAAATTGAGTTAGCACTGTGCCGAGAAAGACCCATGGTCTTAGAAACCCACGGAGCTTAGAATCTGGAAGAGCGGAGTGACTGTCAAAGGGGGCGAGGGACCCAGGGGAGGGAGCTGAGGTGGACAGAGGCCCCGGCCCGAGGGTGGGCCGCAGAACCAGCCCAGGCAGGTGATGGGGGCGGAAGCGGGGCTGGGGCAGAGGAGGCTGGGCAGGGGCTCCCCCAGGCTCCTGACAGGGAGGAGCGAGACAGTCACACGCCACCGGATAGGCGTTCAGGGTGATTTTGTGGTCCGACCCTACCATTGCCAGGTTCTTCTCCCCATGTTAGAATATTCCACCTCTTCCTGACCTCTCTCCCCTGTTTTTCAATTAATAACAGATTCCTGGTCATAGGTACAGACTTCATTTGATTGTAGTTTTACTGAGATAACGGGTGAGCCCCACGGGGTCATAAGAAAGTCGACACAGAGATCCAGCCTGCTCCCGGCCTGCTGCCCCCAGCAGATTATTTTGCAAAATCATGACACAGCATCACAGCAGGACACTACAGTGCCAGCCACCGGCTCCCACAGACTCCCTGCTTTCTGGCACCTGTTGGTGTGTGAACACCTCCAGCCATCAAATAACGACGCGGCTCCAGACTCCCAGCCCTGCTCCAGACCCCAACCCCGTTCCTGCCCTCCATTCTTGAATGTTGGCATTTTCAAGACGTTCTGCAGTGGAACCCCAAGCAGGCACCGTCTGGCACCGGGCTTATTTTCCCTCTGTGCATACCTGGGTTATGCTCAGTCCACAGTCTGTCCCTTCCCTTTGCTGAGGATTACTTCCTGCTGTGACTGGGCAGTTTGTGGAAGACAGCTGAGTGCTGTCCAGTTGGGGTTATGATGAATGGCATTAAAATTAACAGGGGTGTGTGTGCGTTTTCCCTGAGCAATAGGCACAAGAATGCAGTTTCTGGACTGTATGGCAATTTTGTGTTCAGTTTTATACAAAGGTGCAAAAGACTTTACAGAGTATCTGTCTCGTTTTACACAGCCAGCCGCATGTGAGACAATTCCTTGCCAACTCGAAAGCATGCAGTGTTATTGCTCTTATGGTTCTTCCAGGGTTAAGTCATCCTACGGGCTTCTGCCAGGTTAACCTGCATTTCCCGACAAAGCTGAAAACAATACTGCTCAATACAATCACTCCTGCAGCCACACCTGCGTCACTTCACATAAAGGATGCCGTTTCTATGCTGGGTAGTCTCTTGTGTTCATTTTATTTTCTTACTTTCCCTATTTCACTTCCCTCCCGTGCTTGTCTCCCCATCCCCTCATCTCTACACCTCATGATCATCCCTCTTCAAGCCAGCGACCACTTGTTCAAACACACACTCTCTCTTGGGTTATTTCTGCTATGGGATGTGGTTACTCAGAGGTTCTCAATCGGCTGCTCTGTCTGAAGAACGAAACATCTGCTCTGTCTGAGAACGAAACATCACAGACCCGTGTTTAAGTTAATCGGCTAAATTAGAATTCTCTCCAGTGAACACATAATACTTCCAGATAAGGATATACTATCATTTGTTCAACTCTCTTCTTGGGGGGAATTCATTTGATTCCAATTTTGCTGTCATTACATTTAATGTGTTCACACCTAGGCGCTCAGGTCTCGGTACTTATGCTTACAGTGGAGACGTCCCCACAGAGGTTCCCCAGTCAAGGGGATTCGGTGCAGAGAGCAGGAGCTGCCTGTTTGCTTGAAAGACTATAATTGAAACAGCTCACATTCTCGGGGGCCAGCCCGAGAATCCACTTGGACCTGTGTTTTCATTAGAAATAAAGGCATGCTTCTTTTCATCTCTGCTTTGATCTCATTGCTTTGACTGACACACCCCTGGTGGCTTTGCAGCTTGAGTCTATTCTCCGTGTAAATCTGCCATTTTATCACCGATATGGACTCCAACATATACTTAAAAACTATAGTTTGCAAGAGAAGTTTTCAAATTCCTTATTAAGGAGTTTCAAGAACTTTCATTTTTCTTCCCATCAGCTATGACAGGAAGTCAAATGTTTAAAAACTGTGACATTGCTATTTTATTGGGGCAACGTCAGTTTACAGCTCTGGCAATGAGATGGTGGCTGGGGGGGGGGTGCCGGAGGGCGGTCACGGCCTGCAGTGCTCACCACCCGGAGCCCCTAATCATCCACCACAGTTCATGCCGCCCCTCCCCACTCTGTTCTCCCACCTCTCCCTGGTCCCTGGTGGCCCCAGACCTACGACATATTCTAGGGTTTGTTGTTGGTTTGGTTGTATTTTAGTTTTGATTCTCTCTATTCCACACAGACGTGGGGCCACCTGGTCCTTGTTGTTCTCTTTCTGACTGTCCCGCTCAGCGTCATCACCTTCAGCTCCAGGGTTTCTTAAATGCTTACTAGTCGCTTTAAAACAGACTATTAGAAAGTGATTTTCAAAAAACAAACAATACTTTCCAAAAATTCAGATTTAAGTTAGTTGAAAACCTGCTGTTAGAATTTAAACAGAAACACTCTTGTATTTTTATATTTATATATAGTGGTAAACTTCAACCTCACCACAAGAAAATTATTCTCTTGGAAATGAAGTCTATTTTCCTTTAATAAAGAGCCATTCGTTGCTCAAACATCTTACATGAACCAAGAAATAGAAAACCCTTCCAATTTTGCCTTGGTTAAAGCCCTTTTTAAAAAGACTCCATAAACCTTCTCCGAAAGACATAACCATTCTGCCCCTCCCCATCTTTCAAGCTCCCAGTAGTTTCTGCTTCCATCTGTTATAAAATGAATGCACCATTTCATTGAGCAAAATCTTTAAAAGCAATAATAAGCCCACTAATATATGACCTAGCACAGGGATTCCAAAATGAAAACCACTGCAACAGCACACGATAAACTGCTTTGTGTCTCAATAATGTCAGAGTGCTTTACGGCGCAAGATGCTAAAATACAATCTGAAATGTGCTTACTTGTAGGACCGAGAACCCATGAAGGCAACCATTGCTCAAAGTTCTGGTCTGAAATGTGGTGTGGGGGGGGAGACTTGGGGTGCCTCTGCGTGGCAGTTATGGCCCCAACCCAGAGCCTCCAGCTGCTCTCTGAGCGCTGGATCCAGGTCACAGTTGGCCCTAGCATCATCCCCCTGCCTTGTCTCTTCATTCTCAGAGCTTGAGTGGGAACCTCAAGAGTGCTCAGGCCACCTGGGCACAAACTTCAGACACAGACAGATCATAAACAAGCACCCAAAACATCTGTAGGCATCAGCGCGTTGAGCATCTAACACAAGTCCTCTCCAGCACATGCTCCTCGCAATGTGCATTCCATTCAGTGCTGCGTCTTAATCCATCTGGGCCATTGTCTGAGAAGCAGCTCAATTTCCTCCAGCTCTAGATGGACCATAATTGCTTACCTGACTCACAGGCAAATGTCTTTGACGTCTCGTCATGGAAGATAATCGCCACTGCGTGCTTCTTCGTCTCCCGAGGCAGCCTGGTTATGTTCTTGATGTTGTGCAGTTCAGTTACCTGGAAAGACACATCTTTCACTAGGTGCACTGTATCCATCCCACCCCAGGATGCATCAACAGAAGGACCCATTAGTAGGGTCAAGTCACTTTCTAGTAGGTATTTATGCTTCTGTCTCATAAGCGATGGCCCCAGACACTATAGCCAAAGAAAGTGTCTTCTGCTCCACCCTAAATTTTGAACATAATGGATATTGCTTGCACAATTTTGAAACAGAGTCTAAAGGTGATGTAGTAAAATGACTCTATGAGAGCCAGGCCCCAGTTTTTATTAATATTCTATCTTCTGCAAACAACAGCAGACAGGACCCACAGAAGAGCATCATACGTTTGGTACAATACAGATCGGATTTAATATCCTCCTCCTAACTCCCTCCCGTCACGGAAGTCCATGGCTGGGAGCCCCATGTGACACAGCTGACACCTGAGTATTGGTTGACAAAATGATTCTAAAATTTTGGGGTCCTCCCCTAGAAGCAGCCGCTCCCCAGAGACACGGCCTATCATGGGCCTTCTGTCCTCTTCCCACGCCGACTCCCCAGAGGCCCACCCACAGCTGGTGAGCCCCCTTAGCACTCTTTAGTCCCCCAACAAGAAACATTTTTAATGCAGTGTGTGTTTCAGCTGGCTCTTTGTGGGGGCAAGCTCTGCTAACCAGGGGTGCATCTCATTTCTCTTCATAGTTCACAGAAATGCACACATTCCTTTGACTTCTCTGCAAACATGATGTGGCCATAATAACATAGACTGAGTTGATTTTTTTAAGCCCACTTTTCAAGATGCTGAATTTCATTGTTTCTGCTAATAGAAGAGGCTTCTTATTTCTGGATCAATATTGTTAACAGAGACAGGCAGAATTATCTAAGGTAACAGCTACCCAGTTCGGATTCCTTTTTTATACCAGCCTATGAGGGAATAGATGAAATAAATATTCTAAATCTTGCACTATAAATTACACTAAATTTTACAAGGGATACTGAGGGAGGTGTTGATTTTAGTAAAAGAATAAATAGATGTTTGAAATAGTATCTTAAATTCTAAAAGTAAACTCATTGCTGCTTATGTTTTAATCTTGCCTCCCCAATGGCAGAATTTTCATTAGTACTTTTCAAGACTACTGTGTGCCTCGGAATTTTGATAAAGACAAGAACTAAACAAATACTGAATCCCAACTCTGATGACCACATAATCGGCACACAGCCGCCCCTCCCAACACAACTTACATACCCATACATACGTGAACACACACACATATGGATGCATATCATAAGCACATCACAATTTGCTATTTTTAACACTTTATGTAAGAAGATATGTACATCTATATCAATACCCTATATTCCATTATATGAATCAGACAGTCTTCATAGAACACAAAAATTCAAACATTCCAGGCAAGGACAAGCCAGGTTCCTGCGTCTGAGGCCGTGGGTAGGCGCGTTGGTGGGTGACTCAGGAGAGCTGTTAAATGACAGTTGTCAAAGGGAGTCTCCCAACTCAGCAGGGACTTTCTGAGTCAGAGCTGATCCTTATTATTCAGTACTTCCCTCTGTTGTAAATTCATCCTCTGGCAAAATGTATCTGTAAAACTAAAATCAACAGCCAAGACACTTTTCCGGCAGTTTGCAGAACTGTGCATATGCAGAAAGGTGGGGAAGGTTAAATCTACTTAAGTATATTTTTACAGTAAAGTTGCCACAAGAGGTCATTTTATAACTTCAGCTGTCACACTGTAAACAGTGTCCTTTCCACGGTCTAATAAGGATAAGACTTTTGCAGTGTGTGGTGCTGGTGGGTAAATCATGGTTCAAAATGGCCTCCGCCTCCCTGGTGGTGCAGGGGGTTATAAAGACAGTGCTATCAAGCTCTCCTCAGCCATGGTGGCCTGAGTTCGATCCCTGACCAGGGAGTGACCCACCGGGCTCAGCAGACCTCTCCTGTCTCCCTGCTGCTCCCCTCAGCAGTGTGCTTCAGTGGGTCTGCCTGTTCTATTCCCCACTGTCTCTGATGAATCCGCTTACTCAACCGTCCTTCTGGCCTACACCCCAGTTCTTGTATCCATAAACAAATAAATCTTGGAAAAAATAAAATTAAATGGCCTCTGAATCTACTGTTGAAGTGCCCTCTATGCATGAGAAAAGTTTTTTTCTTTTAAGATTTATTTATTTATGTATACAGAACTGGGGTACAGGCCAGTGGTGCAGGGGTGGTGAGAGGATTCAGCAGAGACAGAGTGGGGAGCAAAACAGGCGGATCAAGGAAGGACACAGCTGAGGGGAGCAGCAGGTGAGACAGGAGAGATCTGCAGCGCCATGTGGGTCACTCCCTGACAGGGGACAGAACTTGCACTGAGGTGGCTGCTCTGGCTTGCAGAGCTGTGCTGTAACCCGCTGCACCACCAGGGAAGGCCTGTCAACTGTTCTCCACACGAGTTACAGAACTATTTACTGTGACTGCAACGGTAATAAATCAACAATGTACAGGAAGTCAGCTGATGAGGTGCTGGGAGCTGATACCACACCCGAACAAGAAAGGTCTCCTGGGGGGCACAGACCCATCCCCCCGAATCCAGCCTCCTCCAAACCTACAGGTCACAATACCACGAACACGGGACTCAGCCACACCCTCAGCGCTCGCCCTGCGTCTGGTACACGTGGACTTGGCAGAAGCAACTTCAGTCTGTTACTAAATTAACTCCAGAGAGGTAGGAAGAGCCCCGTCTGCACAGCTTTCTGATGCCTTTTTTGTGAGGTTATTTGCATATTATAACTACAAATATAAAGAGCCAAAATGATAATTATTGATTCATACAATGTTATGTCTGTTCAAGAAATTCAGAGGAAAAAAGCGAGCAACTAAGATGTTATCGTGTTTCATATTAAACGGCTTCGTGATCATTTCTGGATCTATTCATTTGTTCCTGTGGATTCAAGTTAGCGATCAAGTAGGTTGTTTAGTCCAGTCGCTTCCCTGGTGCTGTTCATGGGGAGCCCACTAGAACCCTAATGGCAAATCTGGATTACACTACATACATTGTTCAACGCAACTCAAATAACATAAAAATTTTAAAAATGCACTCCTAATGTCATAAACAGACACTTTTCATACCTCCGTCTGTCTCTGTCTGCCTGTCTGAAATTATCCATTTGCTCTTCCTGTGAAGTAAAGCAAGACACCAATATCTTACAATCTCTTGGTATAATACCCTAGGGAGAAAATAAGACTGCCGTTTGAAACAGTGATTCACTTATGGTATTTTAAGTACATTAAATTGCGTTCTGAAATAAAATTAAACTCTTCAATTTTTAAATGATTTGATAATCGACTCAATAGGCTAGCCAGCTTTTATTTGAACGTAGCAAATGGAAGCTATACTTGAAAAGCTGATTATTTTAAAATGCCATTCACTTGAACTAAGCCAAGAACTTTACCAAAATGAAGGCGAGCTTAAAAACAAAGGTTAGGCCTTGCTTCGGACCCCATGTAGGCACTGTTCCCCAGGGAGCGTGAGCCTGCTGGGTGCTGTGAGAGACCCACTACATCAAGCCCAGTGGTATCCCACAGTATCATAAAAACATTGGTTATTCTTCTCAAGGACCTTTCCAAAGATTTTATTTACCAACATAAAAGAGTATTAGAACAGATATTGCGGATCCCATCTTTTCTCTGCCCTCTCAGAGCAAAAATCAAAACAAGCTAATGGATAACCTAGCGAAATGCAGAGAACGCTGGGGCTTGTCTGACTCCACTGCCTCGGGCCGTCTGACAAATGAGGTGGTTTACACAAAGTGCCTGCTCTTCTGGAAAACTTACATCCAGAAATGCAGTCGGTCTCTTCCAGCAGACCTTGTTCCAGAGGCGTCCAGAAGGGAGCGGGGCCTGGGTTGCTGGTCAGTGTGCTTGGCCTCCGCGCCCTCAGGAAGCACCGAGTCCCACTCGGCCCCTGGGGTGGGGCGTTCAGGCGTTAGGCTGGTCCCAAAGGTCGCACAGCCTCCCCACAGGAATTGTAAGGGACTTCGCTGTCTTTGGAGCTATTCTTCTTTTACGAAAAATAGCATTTATTGTTCATACACCATTCGAATGTTCTGAGGTGCCTTGTGCTTTTATTTGCTACATCTGGCAGCCCCCGCCCCCCTTCCCTCCCTTCTCTGAGGCACCTACAATACATGGGATGGGAGGGTGGGAAAGTCAGTCGCACCCAGCATAAAGAGGGAGGGGTGGGGGGGGGTTGTCCTGGGTGGGGTGGTCTCTGTTCTTGAGACAGCGACATTTTCATCCGAATTCGGATGGCTTCTTGACTCGTCCTGAAACCTGACTTGTCCTACTGGACTCGGTAAGCGAAAGATAGTTTCATTAGTTCATGTCATTCACTTCTTCACTTTCTTTAAAGATTTATTTTATTTCTGCATACAGAACTGGGGTATAGGTCGGAGGTGCAGGGGCAGTGAGAGGCTTCACAGGGACAGAATGGGGAGTAGAACAAGTGGATGGACTGACAGACACTGCTGAGGGGAGCAGCGGGGAGACAGGAGAGGTCTGCTGCGCCCTGTGGGTCACTCCCTGGCCGGGGATCAAACTCAGGCCCCAACAGCAAAATCATGATAGTGTTGAGACGTAACCTCCGCAGCGCCAGGGAGGCCCACTTCTTAATTCTTTAAATAATGGGACTTCAATGTAAGATTTTCATTTTCCATCGTGACTATGTGCATTTCATAGTGTAGCGCAGTTTGCACCTTATGTGATTACTTTTTGCACACACCAGGAGACAGAGGCCAGTATCAGCTTCCTGGGCTGCATGTCCTGAAAGGGGGTGATAACCAGGGAGTCAGACATCAGGGAGAGCCACATGGCTTCACTTGCACATGGAAATGGCCGACGTGAGTGGCTCGCGTTGTTCAGAGGGACTTTCTTTTCATAGTGAGCAACGCTGCGTGCAAACAAATTAAGACTGATGACGCCATTTAAGGATTATCATCCTATGTATGTTATGTATCTTTCCCC